AATTTATTTTATCTTTACGCTTTGATAAGTTTTGTTTTTATATTGATAATGGTTAGTGTTTTCTTATAATATTTATTTTTTAAATTATTCAATTTTATTAAGTTTTATTTATTTTTATTAATTTTTATTAATTTTATTAATTTTTATTTATTATTATATACATTTACATATATATTATATACATTTCACTAATTTTTATTTATTTTTTAATAACAATAAAAGAATATATATTTTTGTAGGATAATTTGCAAATTCGATTTAATCAATAATCAAATTAATACGGTCACAAATATTGTTATGATAGTTTTATTTTTTAAATTATCTTGATTTTAATAATTATAAGACAAAAAGGTCTTTTATAGATTTCTTTTATAGATTTTTGAAGATTTCTTCTTTATATTTAATTGTTTTATATCTATTATATTCATTTTATATTTCTTATTAGAATTTTAATTGAATTAAAAATGGCAGACCAGTAGATTTTATTGAGAAGAAATCTGAATTAGTTTCCGAATTTAAGATCGAATATTTTAAAAGAGAGTTTTGCATCATATCGCAAAGGGAGTCGGGTTTCACTCACTTCGTAAAAATGCCCCTGTCGTCGTTCGGATCCACTACGTGAATCGAGATGTTCGTGATCAGCGTCAGCTCTCGCTCATCGGTGACGATCGCCTCGAAGTCGTATACGGACCGATCGAAGCGCTCGATCTCCTCCACGACGCTTATCGTGCCCGAGCGCTCCTCCACGGCAAATGGAACTGAAATCCGGTATGCATGTATGCGGCATGTGTTGCATATTTGCATGAATAATATAAGCGTTTCATGCCTCCGTGTTTCCGGCCTCCGCGGAATATTAAAATTAGAGCGCACCTGGGGACACCCCGTCCTCCCCTTTTCCGGGTTTATCTGACGGGTTTATTAGACCTGTCGCGTTAAAGGAGTCACGATGCGACTATGTAGCTTTTAATTCCCGCGGGCGGGACGCGAGATTAATTTTAACGCATTGCGCGTCATCGTTGTCACGTATACGTACCTCCCTCCTCGTAACCGTGCAGAAGATCATAGATGAGATCGTTAGTTTTAACGGCGTCGTTTAAGCGAATCTGCCCGACGCTGGTGCCTACGGGCACGTTCGCGCCGACCCAAAACTCGTAAGGCGCGCCGACAAAATCTGGCTCCCACGAATCTGGACCTGAAGCCCACGAATAAGAGTCAGCTGATGTCTCGATAAAAGTAAAATAGTTTACGGTTGCTACCGGGCAAAAGCGGTGGCGGATTTACAAGGATCCATTTAGAGTCCTGTCGGATACTTTATAAAACATTTATTTTCGTTTCTCAAAAAATTGTAATTATAAAAGGATAATGAAAATAATAAAAAATAATCTATAATACGGTGCGTTCAAAAAGTTCCGAGACTGATTTTTTTTAAAGACGTACTTAATGATACTATTTCTCAATCAATACTGGAACTGGGTAGTACCAATATTTTTGAGTCTCCCATAATTTTTTCGTTATGTTAGGTGCAGTAGTTTTTGGGTAGTGCACATTGAAAAAGTGTTTATTCCTTTTGCACTGTCACAATGTCAAGAATAGAGCAACAGGCCGGGATTAAATTTTGCTTTAAAAGTGGAAAAACTGATCTATCGAGATATTATGGATTAACTTTTAAAGCCAATTCAATGTTTTAGGCCCGAATTTTACCAATCGGGTGAATGGTTCCTTCTCCATGACAATGCATCCGCGCATTTGTCAATAGTCCTCTCTCAATTTTTGGCCCAAAAAAATGTGACCATCATCCACCCGCCGTGCTCGCCAGATTTGGCATCTGCCGACGTTTTTTTGTTCTCCAAGATAAAATTGACGATGAAAGGAATTGGCTACGAAAATGTGAAAGCGATTCAACGCGCTGTGACGTGGCCTTTAAATTCAATTTCCTAAAAGAATTTTTTTGGCCAAAAATTGGGAGACGACGATTAACAAATGCGCGGGTGCATTGTCATGGGGAAGGAATCATTCACCCGATTGGTAAAACTTGGGCCTAACGCGTCGAATTCGCTTCAAAAGTCGATCCATAACATCCCATAAAACAGTTTTTCTACTTTTCAAGCAAAATTTAATCGCGACCATTAATTGTTCCATTCTTGAAATCGCGACAATGCAGAAAGAACAAATAATCTTTCAATATGTACTACCCAAAAATTACTGCATCTAACGCAACGAAAAAATTATGGGAGACTCAGAAAGGTTGGTACTATTTAGTTTCAATATTGATTGAGTGATAGTGTCATTAGTACGTCTTTAAAAAAATCAGTCTCGGAACTTTTTGAACGCACCGGGTATAATTAAGAGCTTTCTTTTGCACAATTACCTCTAAATTATTCAAACAATTTATTTTTGTCTTTGAATAAAGGCTCTCGTTGTTGAATATGAATTACTTTACATGACGTTCTTAAACGTAAGTGTCAATTGATCAGTCAATTGAGCTTTAAATTCACCAATGTTCTCGATTTATACTTACCATCTGCTCGAAAAATGTCCACCGTGACGACCGCTAAGGAGAATCTTCTTTCACTGGGATTCGCCGGCTGATCGGCCGCTTCCACAAAAATCGCGTGCCTACCCTCGAGTATCGGACTCTCCGACACCGAGATTAGACCTGAACTCTCGTTCACCGCGAACGGGGGTTTACGCAGCGTGGAATTGCCCGGCTTCTGCAACTGGTAACGTACCGACCCATTGGGGCCTAGATCGTCGTCCACCGCGTGCACTTGTCCTAACACAGTTCCGATCTTCGCGTCGCTCCTCGCCACCAGCTCGTAAAGATTGCCCGGCACAAAGATGGGATTGTTGTCGTTGGCGTCGAGCAAAGTGATCTCGACATCCACGGAGGATTTGCCGAAGGTTTCGCCTGTCGCGACGACACTCGGCCGGTGCTCGACAGCGTGTACTTTCATCTTCAGACGATCCCGCTTCTCGCGGTCCAGGATCGCTTGATCCCGCACGGTCAACCAACCGGATCCCGGATCCACGGAGAACGCGCCTGATGGATCCTCCAACCGGTAATCAAACTTTCCGTTTTCTCCTTGATCCTTGTCGCGCGCGATCACCTGCAGCACGCTGAAGCCGTTCGGCAGGTTCTCCACGATGCTGATATTGTAGAGATCGACTTCGAACTGCGGCAGGTTATCGTTGAGATCCAGCACCTCCACCTCGACCCGCGCGACAGTCATCTTCAACGGGTTATCCACTTGCGACGCGTAAATCTGAAGTTTGAACGTGTTGCCCGGCAAGCTGCGCTCGGCGTCGAGATCGATCGCGCGTTTCAGGAACAGCGAACCGTTCTTCGGATCGAGATGGAAGAAGCCCCTCTCGTTCCCGGATATTATATCGTATCGCATGGGCACATTTATGTCCCGATCGCGATCAACCGCGTGGATCGGGTTGGTGAAGTTGATTTCTGTGAAGATTGGGTAGTCCTACGAGAAAAGCGAGAGACCAATATACCCGAAAACTCCATAATATTGCATCGAAAAACGAAATTTATTGAATGCAAGACTCTACGTGATATCTTGAAGAATTTTCTTACTGAATTTCAAGTCTATTTGTCTTTTTTTTACGCTCGTTAAATTTAGATCGTGTTAACCATTAATCGTAATTTTCTTTTTTTGAATTTTTAGTTTTATATATATATATTTATAAAATAAAGTTTCTCAAATAAAATAAAATCATCATTTAAAATAAAATAAAATAAAAATTAAGTTAAATTAATTAAAATAAAATAAAACATTTAAAATAAAATAAAATTAAAATTAAGTTAAATTAATTAAAATAAAATAAAATAAAATAAAAGTTGATTATCATTTAAATTTAATTTCATTAAATAACAATTATCTGCATATTTCTATTAATGTCGCGATATTTGAATGATTCTCGTTCGCGTCTCTGTTTGATTTTCGATGTTAGAGTAGATTTCAAGGACGCCCAATACAAACGTATCAATTTTTATAATCATACCGGAACAGGATAAAACTCGTAAATCTTCGCCTTGTAGATGTCCCGCGTAAACTTTGGGTCAAGATCATCGTTGTCTGTCACAGTTATTTTTACGGTGCTGTTCGTGCTTTTAGCTGGAACACCTCGATCCTAAAGCATTTCATCATATGTATTGCACCGTGAGACGCAACGATTATTAAACTAATCTAATTTATCATCATTCATTGCCGACTTACTATCGGACAATTTCTGATGATACATTAATAAGAACTATTATATTATATAACAACTATTATAAAATACAATATACAATTATTTAGTTACTTGTTAAATTTCTCAAATAGAAAAAAATAGAGAGAGAGAAAACGTGGGCGTTTTCGTGTACTCACGGTCGCGGTAATAACCAGGTCGAATTCGCGATCTCCGCTATCGTAATCGATTGACTTGCGTAGTATCAAGGCAGTTCTGTGACCGGATTCGAGGGAGAATTTGCCCTGCTCGTTCCCTTTTACGATGGCATAATAGACGTCGCTGTTTGGCGTGTTCGGCTTGTCACCGTCCAGCGCGTGAATTCCGCGGAATATCGTCACACCTGTGATTTCATTTTCTTATATTTCACGGTTCAAATCATTTTCGAAGATCGCGGAGGCTTCTCGAAAAATTCAAAGTTCGAGTAAAGCATCGCATTCGGAAAAATAAATATCAAACGCGCTCAAATGCGTAGTAAACCGCGGACATGTATTTCATTTCCGCAAATCACGTGAATTAGGGCTTGACATATGAGCACGAAACAAGTGGGATATTAATTAAGCTGAAATTTAGGTGCGGCAACCCCGATAGTACATGGGGCTAATATCTCACCGACTGGCGTGAGTTCGTCCACCGTCACATGATAAGGCGCATCGACAAATCGTGGCGCGTGATCGTTTATATCCTCCACGTAGACCGTCACTGACAAATGTGACGATACCTAAACACATAAACGTACGTCATACAAGGATCGTTGCACTCGCTGTATTCGTCTCTCTCTCTCTCTCTCTCTCTCTAATCCCGATGCCCAATTATCATGACGCGACGTATCGTAAAACCGATGCTATCGCGTCTTTTGGGAAATGAAAAGGCATGTATGTGATACTCGAGAAATGCGTACTCGACTTACGCACGAATGTAGTACGCGCGAAAGTCGTAATCACCGTAATCTAGTCGAGTGAATGGCAAAATCGCGGCGGTCCATTGATCGCCACTTTTACACCTATCGTCGAATATCTTGGAGCAAATCAGGCGTTGAATTATCAAAAATTGGAAAGTGAGAGAGATATCGATTTGCATTCTTCGAAATGCCGAAACGTTCGGAAACGAGAAATTGTAGAAACGCTCGACACGTCAAGGGGCTATTAAATCATATTACGTATACCAACGACTTTTAACCGGAGAGCTTGAGAATCGTTACATAAATGCTTATTACTGTGCGTGAAAAACCTTTAAAACCGGCAAAGTTGTTCGTTTCTCACCGTTCAAACCGGTCGCCGGTATAATTAAACTCGAAACTAGACGCGCGGTAAAAAAATTGACAGTTAAAGAGCAATCGAGTCCTATAATAATTAATAAGCGAAATTCGACAAAATCACTTGCGTCCGCGGAGAGGTCAACGACTGATAATGTCCTTTGTAATTCCGTGACTTACCGACGAGTCACCGGTGCCCGAGTCGCAGGAAACTCGAAATTTTAACAGATTTCTCGGGGACTCCGCGTCCACCAGATCCTCCATTGATTGTGCCAGGATCAGGGAGACGTGCGTCTCATTCGTTGCTTTGTAAGCGAAAAATCCGGCGTCCTCCTCCTGTGAAATTTATATTGCCGTATCACGTACTTGTACATATACAGGGTGTCCCAGAATTAGACCGATAAACTTCAGGTGGTTATAAAGGACACCAAAACAAGACAATTTTGTCTATAAATTCGTGTCCGCAAATGAGTTGTTTTGGCACTAGATAATCAAAAACTAACAAGAACAAAAAATCTTTGAAAAAGTATTTTCCCAATATTTTAATGTGGAAATGAGTTGTTTTGGCACTAGATAATCAAAAACTAACAAGAACAAAAAATCTTTGAAAAAGTATTTTCCCAATATTTTAACGTGGTTAAATAGAGATGTTTTTATCATAAAATTTTTGTATAAAACATTTTTCGATATCTCGAATAATTTTCGAGATATATCGAGAAAAACCGTTCTACAGAGGAGTGATCTTCAGGTGGTTATAAAGGACACCAAAACAAGACAATTTTGTCTATAAATTCGTGTCCGCAAATGAGTTGTTTTGGCACTAGATAATCAAAAACTAACAAGAACAAAAAATCTTTGAAAAAGTATTTTCCCAATATTTTAATGTGGTTAAATAGAGGTGTTTTTACCATGAAATTTTTGTATAAAACATTTTTCGATATCTCGAATAATTTTCAAATTATATCGAGAAAAACCGTTCTACATATGAGGAGTGATTTCAACCCTTAAAATCGTTTTTGGGTCTCAACTGGAAATTTCTAATTTCATCTATTTACTCCTCTTATATATGTGTAAAGTTTCATCAAAATCAGAATTTTTGGGTTCGTGAGGTACCCTTGTTAATCTTTGATTCTCTAGTGCCAAAACGACTCATTTGCGGACACGGGTTTATTGGCAAAATTGGCTTGTTTTGATATCTTTTATAACCACTTAAAGTTTGTCAGTCTAATTCTGGGACACCCTGTAGATGTAAAAGGAAAGTTAATACACACAACAAAATTGCGATATGTACCTTGTCGACCGACGTAATAACGAGTCGATCTCTCGGATGGGCTTCAAACGAAAGGATTTCAGTTCCTATTGCCAGATTCTCCGGTACCCTTACAAATTTCAGATACTCTCCGATGGGATAAAACTGGCATCCTAACGAGAGGAGAGAAGACCTTAAGTTTTTTATAAACGTAAATTTTATAAACGTAAATTAAGATCAAGGCGCGAATTAAAATACAATAATTTATCAAGAGTTATTTTTAATTTCATTTTCATTTCTATCATGAAGTAAGAAGCAAGGCAAGGCTGCGTTCTATCAAATACGATAACATAAACAGAGTTGTTTGCCTTCGTCGGTTGCGCGTCAATTTCCGGCTATACTTGCCACTCTTCTCTTTACTAACTTACTTTCAAAGTTTACGACAAGAGGAAATCAATATATGCATTCAAAATAAAATATTTTAGAATTCTTAAGTAGAAAGTCCTTTCATATCGCAAATACAGAATTTTCCTTGCAAATAGTTTTGTTCGAAAAGATATACATATGCATGTGTGTGAATTTCTCGATGTTATTTCCATCTATTAATAAAATAAAACGTGGCTTCATAATTATATAATTTAGGAATAAGAGAGATATCAAGCAGTTATCGAAAAAAGTTCAAGTACAATATAAATAATTTATTCCCGTGTATCATGTTTTGCATTACATCCTGTACTTGAAGAATTCAATCTCTCTTTACAAGATTAAATTTCTCCGTAATACTTAAATAATGAACCTTCTCTCTTGCACAATTTATCATGTAGATCAAGTACTTCAAGTGCACGCGTAAAACGTCAGGAAGATCTGCGTGATTCGATCCTCTCGTGCAATCCCCTTATTAGTAAAAACTATCGAAACTTCCGATGAAATCTCTCACGTAGCGTATAATCTTTTAATCGCTTAAGGCAGAAATGAGCGCAAAAACTATCGCGATGTTTCAACTCCTGTGTAAAGATGTAGTTTCTTGTTTTAAATTATTTTCGCAATTACTTCAAATAATACAAAAGCGATTCGCAAACACGGATTGCTATCCGTTTGAGATTTGTTTATGCTTGTATTTCAAATAATAAACGTCATCCGGATCTGACACAAATACACACACATACACATATTTCGTCATAAAACGTTATAAAACGCGATCCTGGACTTTACACTATTGTTGCGTGTACGCGCTGAGTTCACATACAAACGACTAATTATCCAGCGTAATCTGGACGCGAGAGTGAAACATCGCTTCCGACTGCGAAAGGGAACAGATCGAGAGACGATAGCAATGAAAAGGAAGCTCTCCGATTATATCTCAAATTTATTCAGAGGTTCCGGAATCGTTCGGTCGATCGGATCAGATTCGCGCGATATGCATCGCCGCGAATCTTCTCCGATGATGATTTTCACAGTGATTTAATTCACGCGCAGAGTGCACTCTCGTTAAGATTTACAGCTCCCTCCGTGCGAACGGAGACTTTTTATCTTCTCCAGCGTTATAAAAACATCGCGCGATGACGACTCGTTTCGTGCACTCGGAAACCAACGTACGCGCGCAGACCATCTTCTTATTCTCATCTAATGTAAACTTTTTCCAGGGCGCTCCGCTACGTCGGAGCTGAGCAATTGCGTAAACACTTCCATGTTTTGTTTTAGGTATAATATATTGCAGAAATACATATACAGTATATATCAGAACACAATATCAAGGGATAACGAGATAATAATTTATTTATTTATTTTCGCAAATACTTCAGATAATAAATAAATAAATAATTTTATACATATACAGAGTGTCCCAGAATTAGACCGACAAACTTCAGATGATTATAAAGAACACCAAACAAGCCAATTTTGTCAATAAACCCGTGTCCACAAATGAGCTGTTTTGGCACCAAAGAATCAAAGATTAACAAGGGCAAAAATCTTCTCAAAAAAAAATTATTTTTTCAAAATTTTATTAATATGGTTAAATAAAGGTGTTTTTACCATGAAACTTTTGTATAAAACATTTTTTGATATCTCGAATAACTATCGAGATATATCAAGAGAAACAAAAAACACTCTACAAATAAGGGGTGATTTCAACCCTTAAAATCGTTTTTGGACCACAACTGGAAATTTCTAAATTCATCTATTTATGTTGTATTGATGTATATAAAGTTTCATCAAAATCAAAATTTTCGGATTCGTGAGGTTCCCTTGTCAGTCTTTGAGTATCTGCCAAAACGGATCATTTGCGGACACGGGTTTATTGGCAAAATTGGCTTGTTTTGGTGTTCTTTATAACCACCTGAAATTTGTCGGTCTAATTCTGGGACACCCTATATATATTTTTTTCTCTCTTTTTCGATGTATTGCTCCATATTCTTAAAAAAAAAAAATCATACGTAACAAGCGCTTCATTGCCATCTCACCAATCGTTCTTACCTTTTGATACACTCTGTATAAGATGCGAGAAAAGCCGGTTTCGCATTAGGTTTCTTGCGTAACAGTATCGCATCCGGATCTCATAAATCTCAATCCACTCGGAGGTAAGTTCGGGCTTGATACATTGTTAATCTGCCCTATTTATGTCGCGGCGGGGTTACCCCGGCATCATTAGTTATCCCATTTCAAAGCACGGTCCCCTCTCTCGACAACAAGTGCCGATTCGCGTTTTGTAGCCTTCGGTGCCGCGGCTCGGTTAGATTAAGCAGTGCCGCAGGTGGCCGTTTGCACTTATCATGTCAGACTTTCACCTTATCGCGCGGTGAATGTAACGTGCTCCGAAGCGGACGCTCGCTCGTGCGTACGCGCCACTTCAATTAGCGCGCTTTGTTTTTCTTTTCATCGATTTTACCGCTAGTTTTACGTACAGACGCTTTCTTTCGTATTCTTTCGCAACATATTCTACAAATGCAAAAAAAGGTCTCTGTTTCTCAAGTCTGATACATTACTCGCGCTTACTTCTATAAATAAAGAAATCGATAAAGAAAGAATTTCTATATTCTTAACAAATCAGCACCGAACAATCACCCTACCCAGACAGCACAAGGATGTCCTTAGGACGTCCAAAGGGCATCCAGGACATACATGTAGGATATCCTGAGGATATCCTATTTTAATCCTCGGATCTCCTCGGGATGTCCTGAGAGGAAGAGTAAATGATAGCCGTACACTAGCCTCTGGAGAATCCAGGGAGACCCTGTGGAACATCTTAAGGATTTCTATAGGATATGTTAGGGATATTTTTCATACGTTAAAAGGAACAAATTCTAAAACTTAAATATAAATTAAGATTGCGATCTGTTATTTACTGCCAATACTAAAAATCTAATACTAAAAATAGTTCACGTTCTTTAAAATTTGACGTTTTCGTGCTGTACATGAATATTTTAGGTTTGGCTTCCGGGTTTGAGTCGTGTAATATTTTCAAAACAATCCAATATCTGAATTCCCTATGTTGGGATTGCATCAGAAATTGAACTGATAAAAAATAATTATATTTTTAATTTCCTGTTAGTTGCTCTTTGCAAGCTTTATATAATTCTCATGACCAAATCTCAAATACGAGTTCGCGCGTCGCATAGCGGTAAACAAACGAACTAGCGGTTGAATACTATTTTTTGTAAAGTTTTTGGAATGTTGCGCATAGTAACATTTCTCATGAAATATTAAATAAATAATAATTTTGAATATGTGAAAATGTGCGCATCAAATTCAATTATTAATATTAAACGAAATTAATGTTAACAATTAATTGCACATGTATATATCCTCTGGAAATCCAAAGGACATCCAATATAATAGACAGGGCAGATATCCTACAGACATCCAGGGGTTATCCAATGGACATTTATAGGACATTAATACTTATTACAATACTTAAAATTTCTAAATTATATTAAATAGCCTACATAACCGAAAGTAATCATGTATGCATATTAAATTTTCATAAAATATATTTATAATAATATCTTAAAACATCCTACAAATATCCTGAACCATCCTGGACATATTCAGGATGATCCTGAGGACGTTTTGTGCTGTCTGGGTAATATTTTTTCTCAATCCCTACTCATATTCCGATGCACATGTGTAAAATAAAACTCATATATTGGTCTTGTGCAGAAAATAGTAAAGGAGCATGAAATGAAAAAAAAATGTTAAGAATACGGAAATCAAAAGTGTTAAGAATATAGTGGAATATAAGGAATGTAAAGAAAGATTCGACTACGCTCGATAACGGTGAACGATAGCGCGCTGTCGCATCGGTTGCGTCTTAATTAGTAATTTGCTTACATGGCGGAACTAATTGGAAAATTCACGTCTAATTATCATCGGCATTATAAACGCGGTTAAAAATAGCTTTACACTTTCTAACCGTTTCGCGAGGAGACGCCAATCGAAACGTTCTCTTGCGAGGCGCGAATGTGCATCGGTCGCGCACTTCTATACTTGCCGCTTTCTGATTATTTAAGTTTGCTGACAGATTACCCGCGTAATGTACCGAAACCTTGAACAAAGCAACTCCAAGAGATTTAATCGAGCGGAAAATGCTTAAGGATGTTTCGGCTGCAGAATAATAGCAAGAAACTGTCAAAACTAAAAAAAAAAACATATTTCTTACATTTAAACTATTTAAAAAATCAAATAAATAAATCCGAATTATAAAAAGAATTAAAGTATTACAAAATAATATGGTTTCTAATGTCTTCGTAAAAGAAAATATTTGTAATTAATATTTTTTCTAATATATAACAAAAACTTTTGATCATGAATACCCCTTGAAATCAACTGCAAAAAACAAAAAAACGAGTAATTTGCAGAAAAAGAAAAAAAGAGAGATAATATTAGATCTAATAGTAGATCTAAATCAAGTTTTGCACAAATATTTATCAGAATTTTCTTAATATATGTGATAATTTGTATTTCGTCGTGTACAATACGCGATTTTTCATAAGAATCAATACTAACTTTAAACTTAAATAATTTCCAAATCGTTAAGAGAATTGTTCAGGCTTTGCACAGATACTCAGAAGAATTAGTAGAACAATCTACGAAATTTTCATGCTTTTGTCAACGTTTTGACATATGACACGTATATCCTTAAGAAGAAATTTATCATTTTAAATTGCTACAAAAATGTGGAACTTATATCTTATAAACTTCTCATTAATAATAATAATATAAATAAAAATCATATTTTTTTACGCAAAATCAATTATTTTATTTTTAATGATCTTTTTAATCGCATGATTGTTGTGGTAATATTTATTCCGTGCAATAAGACTCTACATCCTCGCAGCGACTATTGAATCTCCTGAAGCTTTACTTCTTACATCTGAGTGAGAGAGAAAATGAGGAAGGATTGTGGACGTGTTTTAAAGAAATCACACTTCGTGGAGATCGCGTTTCTTTCTTTCTCTCTCGTTCTCTCTCTCTCTCTCTCTCTCTCTCTATTTCTCTCTCTTATGTCTGTTTCTCGAGTCGAGAAGAGAATTACTTTTGAAAGGCGAGCGGGCCAAGAAAATCGCGAGCACTCGACACATCTCTATCCAGACGAGCGTTATATGCCGTATGCGACAATGGATACGCTTTCCTGTGTACACACGATGATATCCGCTCACACATACACACACGCATACGCACGCGTGTGCATTTACAGGGATAAGCCCGCTCCTTTTTCGCTTTGACAAAAGTGGGCCAAGGCCGACTTTTTGCGCACTTCCGTAGTTTCTTCAGTTTGGGACACGCAGTGTTCCGGTGTTATACATATAAACCTCAGAAATATGCCTTCCTGTCGCGTCTATCACGCGAGCGGTGATGATCTTAAATATCCGCTTGATATTTCAACAATGATGACGTCGAATCCACAAAATTTAACATGCTGATGAAACGATAAATCTTTGGTCGCGAAGCGAATTATACGGGACGCACTTCGTCAATCTCACCGCTGCCACCAGCATTACTGGATGACAAGTAACAGATGATCGTTCGCTGAAAGCAAAGTTTATGAGTGCGACGTGCACGTTATGATTCACGCGAGAGGCTTAATCAATTTTACGCGTAAACGCATCGAATATATTTGAATCTAACAAGATATATCGGAGTTCCGAGACGACGAGAAAACCTCGTCGTTGAGGAGGTTCATTAACGGACCGTCTACAAATTGATGTAGACACCCGGCCGCGATCTCACGATCTAAAATGGTAACGATGGGAATTAACAGCCCATCTCCGGCAGCACCTTCATTCGTACATATATCCGTGTGCTGATGTGCAAACTAGGGTACATACGAGGTACGCGAGCATTGTTACAGGCGACAATGCAGACTGCACGAGGGTACGCAGCGCAGGCTGTTCTATATAGAGGCTAATTGGACTTTAGTTCGAATCCTCGCTCGGAGTGTCAAATCGCCTTTTAATTGAGTGACATAGACGCATCGAAAAGGCGTAGACTTCTTCATAATAATTCATAAATATATCGCTAACAATAGAAAAAGTAGCATTCTGATAAACATTTGTCTACTCAGATTGCTCGGAAGAATGCTAAATATTTATTAATAATTTTTATAGAATAAATTTTAGCACACAAACAAAAAGATTTATTATAAAACATTTATTAAATTTTTATAAATTAGTCGGTAAAATTAATTAAAATAGAAAAGGCAATTTCGTGCTCTAAGTAAACAAAATATACATCCAACATAATTATTGTATAGTATGTATTTTGTCGGATAAATATTTATAAATGTAGAATTAATATTCGTACATCTATTTATTTTTAAATTCTTTATTGCTTAAGGATGTATATATCATATGTCAAAATATTGAAAATTTCGTAAATTGTTCTGCTATTTCTTTTGAATATCTGTGAAAAACCTGAGCACAATTCTCTTAATGGTTTGGAAATTATTTTAAAATTTGTATTGCTTCTTATGGAAAATCGTGTATTGTAGTATTTATTGACAAATTTGACAAGGAAAAAACATTGCCAGCAAAATAAAAATTTTCACATGTATTAACAAAACTCTAATAAACATTTGTGCAAAACTTGCTTTAGATCCACTTACTCGTTAAAAATTATTTATTAAAAATTGTAGCAAAATACTTTTAGTAACCCAAAATCTTTCTGTAAATTACTCGTTTTTTTTTTTTGTTTCTTGCAGTTGATGGGGGTATCCACGACCAAAAGTTTTTGTCATAAATATTAATTACAATTATTTTCTTTTATGAAGACGTTATATAAAAACCATATTATTTTGTGATATTTTAATTCTTTTCACAATCCAGATTTATTAAAGAGTTAACATTTGGTTTGGGAAATGCGTTGAAACGTTTATTTTTTCGCGTTCTTAAACCGACACGGTTTACTTTTCTATCGACGATTGTCTTTAAACCTGCTGTATGAATCAAAATAACAATTATAAAAATCGTGAGAGCACGCGCACACACCACGTACCTGTTATATAATGAACTCGAACGAGAAGGATCAGCAAAATCGCCGTAATCAGCCGGGAATGTAGCCCGGAAAAGATAGACGTCCACGTTGATCGTGACATTTCTGGCTCCCTCTTCTTCCGTCAGTCACGCCGTCGTATCCTCGTACATCCCTGAAATTATTCGCCGTGAGTCGAATAATTCGTCTACCTGGTTTGAGGCCTGCCGGCAAGCGCAGAACCGTGACGACGCATCTCCGCAGGTTGCACTCATTATAAGTGCATCCTACGTACGTAGATAACCAGGCGCGTCGTGGAAGAAAAGTGCGCGTTCTCGTTCGCGCTTCTCGCGCGATCGAGGGAAAGAAAAAAACAATCGCGCGTGCTCCGATACGCGGGAAAAGTTTACTTATCCCGCGCAATTAATCTTACGTTGTGCGAAAAGCGATTTCAGTTTTGCAATCGGGACTAAAAACTCCCACTGCAAATGCGCATCGCGAGTTTTGAAATTGCATTGCATACATCGTTTCTCATTATATTGGAAAAGAAATTTTTCATCATATTTTAACAATATCTCTCTCGTTTAAAATCGAAACCAAATTTGTAGATTTATGTTCTTTTTTATCCGTCTTTTTTAATAAAAAGTTATGGAATGTCTCACTTTTATCGTATAAATTGCATTTTTTTAATAAGATTCTTTAATTAATTTACAGTCCATTTTTCCTACGAATCGATTCAAATCAATCAGTGGAATCAATCTTCTCTATATAAGCAGAATATTCAAACAACAATTTATTTTAAAATTGTTTATCTTATTAATAATTTAATAATAACATTTTTAAATAACTGTACATATTTATAACATTTTTTAAAATTATTTGAAAGATTATATTTATATATAATTATATAATTATTAAAATTATATATTTATATAATTATGCATATATTTATAATTATATACGTATATAGAATTATATATACAAGATGTTAATAAAAGTTGGACACTATTAGATAAATAAATTGATAGAGCTTTATTTCAGATCTCCGAAACTGACAAGTTTAAAATCCGGAGCTAAAGTTCCATCAGTCTATTTCCATATAATCTTATGAAATAACAAGAAAGATAGTTCTTGCAAAATAATATACCAATTTCACACTATTAGATCCGGACACTACTCGTCGATTGCCATAAGGAAACTCGCGTGTGCGCGCATAGAACGTGGAAAAACATGACGACAAATCGACGTGAAGATCTATGCCGAGGTTCTTGCATACCGGCGATTTCACTTTCGACAAAACAAGCGACCGTAACTCGAACAAATTGACGTTACGCGATTCGTGCCTGCCTGATCAATTTGATATTTTTCCGAGAGAGAAGAAATATACTCTCTTTAAGGAGGATTGTTTTTATTTGCACCCGCCTGCATATCTCTCTCAGAAAGCGAATCTACATTTATATTAAATTGAGATTGTTCCTCTTGTAAAAAAAAAAAACGCTCATGCAAAATTCAGGATGGAGAAACCAGCGATTACAATCTTAAAAACGTTTCTCTTCATCACGCATTCTTATACTCTATATATTCTTTCCGTCTTTGTCGGATCAAACTTTCGCCCCGTTTCACGCATAGTATTTCACGAGCAAATGTCATTTATCTCGGCCAGACGCGGATTGCGTGTGCGTGCAACGCATCATCAATCGTGCACTATTGAAATTCCGAAATAAAAAACTCGCCGTAAAGTAACGAATCTTTTTCAAAAAAATTTGAAAAAGACAAATGAATATAAGACTATAAATAGTAGAGAAAATACAACAATTAAGAATATTCAAATTCCTTTATACATCTGTATTAAATATTTAAATTTTATTCATCGTAAAAAAAAACTCTTGAAAAACTTATCTTTTTCCTTGAAAAATATTTTCAAACCCACGCGCTCACAAGACAAAGTAGTAAAAATTTAAAACAATCGTGCCCTAATTTTTTATTAATTAAAATAGCGATATATAAACTAAAAAAAATAAAACTTTTGTTTTCTAAAAATTAAAGTATTTCTGTCTCTGCGAAATATTGATAAAATCAGAAAAATTATTATCGAGAATAGATAAAATAAATAATATTGTTAGAAATTAAATGTGTCGGAATGTATTGTAAGATATCAAGACAGATGACTTCTCATAAATTGAATTTAAATTAATCTGTTAAGAAAAGAAAAATATATATTTCAGTCTATGTCTTTTTGATTATTCTTAGTTAAATATTCAATTTATTTTTCAATATGATTTTTATAAAAGAGTAAACGAGATTGCATTATGTCGAGTCCGTTATTCTTCTTATAAAGAAAAGACAAATTTGTTATCTTTTAGATTTCAATAAACAGAATTTTCGCTCGTGATTATTCGCGAATATATAAAATGATTCTGCTCCTCGCGACGTTTATCTTTCGGCGAGAAAATTTGAGCGGTGATAAAACGATGGTAAGTAGCGCATTTATATTTTATATATTATATTATATTTTCTCTTATATTATTGTATATATAATAGCTCATATTATAATTATATACATTAGTATCTCTCTTTTATATTTATGTATTGTATATATAAATTTATTATTTCAAGAGCGTTTATTGATTCGTCGAATAATAAAAATCAGCCGTTTGGAGCACGGATGGTCGATGTAGGAAGTTGAAAATGCTCTGCGTAGGTGTCTGCATCCGAATGACGGAATCAAGTGTGCTCTCTCGGCCCTAAAAGCACGAGCATACCGAGAAACGAATGTTCCTTTCGAGCGAGCATATTCCTTCTTCGAGAGTTCTTATGACCAGTGTAATATCGATATACTTCCTATATGCGTAAGAGAACAGGAGAATCGGGAAAACTTTCGCTATTACGTGTTTCGCGAGCCAACGGTAGCTGTCACGCTCGAACGAGATTTCCAGGCATCATCGAACCGATAGAAAAATAAACCGCCACACGGTATAATTGACTGTTCACCGTACAGCGCGAGGCCTACTGTATTTTATAACTTTAATCCCGCACGAGCGATTCATTATCGAAGGGAGAAGAAAGGAAATAGGTGATTATCCGGATGACAAGGGACTAATGGCATTGACGGCGCAATAGCAGTGATTTCTTATGTTAGACATTAATTGGGTTATATACGCCATTCAATCATAAGTGCTATAAAAGACCTTTCAGAAGAATAAAAATTCCAGAGTTTACAAAATATTTAAAATAGCATATGCATTATATATACATAAAATATTGTATATAAAACATTATAATATATGATAATAAAATATTTATGTATGTGGATTCTCTCATGTCATTAGATTTAAATTTTTAAATTTTTAAATTTTTAGATTTTTAAATTTTGAAACTGTATTGAAAAATTCTATAATGCAAAAGTAATCTGACCCACTTTTTTAAAAATTAAAAAAAAATTAATGAAAATTTTTATCAACTGTACGATTAATTTTCTCAAGACTTTAAAAAGGCAAGTCAAGCGACTATTTTCGATTAAAAGGATTAATGGGTCAAATCTTTTAATTAATCAAATTAAAAAAATATCTCGTTACACAACTTTTATCCGGAAATAATTCATATTGTAATAATAAAACTAGACTTTCTTAACGCAATATCGAAATAAGTTGCAGAATGTCTTGCTTCTGTATCTCTCAATTTCCAAACTCGACATCAGTTTCCAGCTTCTTTTTTTTTTTTCGCTCGCCAAAACGGCAAAACTTTCGCTCTAATTCGTGCCTTCACGAGTGAACGGAATTTATCGCGGTCGATTGGACGAGTGTGCACATCATCGTTGCGCCATTTTATATTGACAAAGAATCGAATCCACGAAATTCATGACAAAAAAATCACCCCTTCACCCCAATCGTGCGCGGCGATTCTTCACTGACCTTGTACAGAACACTCGACGGAACCTTCCGGCAGCTTCGCACCGGAAACCCAAGGTCTCGCAAGATGCACTCCGAGGACACTCTACACGACACTCTCTTTGACCGATTGCTAGTGAACTACCCGACTCCTTCGCGCTAAGTGATAGACCCCTCCCTCTCGAAACGTAACCCCCCGTCGCTGTATCGGTTTCAGGTAATTCGTTCCTAGCGCACACGGTGCCGTTTACGTGCCTCGAACGTACGAGGAAGGAATGGCTAAATGTTCGCCGTACAGCTATAGCAATGTACCGAACTACTCTCTTCTAGGTTTACCCCCCTTTCCGGACGTCCTTTCGCTTTCAGCGGCCACTGACCACCGATACCCCGCTCTCCTGCAGTCGTGTAGCAACGAACGAGTGCAATCTTACTTCCTTCACTTCGAGACCCCCTTCGATGCACTCTCGCGGATCGGATTACAACGGCAAGCATGACTTTAGATCTCTTCGAGCGTTTAAGAGGTTGAAGGCGTGGTGCATTATTGTTACATACGTGTCAAGTTCACGGTCTTTCGCTTGGCTAAAATTGAGATTGATTAATTCCATCGCCTTATTTTTGAGATAAAAAAAAAGAGCAAATTAATTTCTCGATCCAAATTGTGTGTATGTGTATTTACATTTTACAAGTAATAATAAATTATGCGTAATTCCCAAAACAAAATTTTTTCTCATTATTCAAGAATAGAACAGTAATCGATAATTATGAGTAATTTATATTTATATATATTATATTAATTTATAT